TAAGCCCTTGGCGGAGGCATACCATCAGCACCTGAAAGTTGATTCCACATACGGTGAACTAAAGCCTAGTAGAGAATACTTGAAAACACTTTATGATGCTTAACATAGTCATATGATGAATGCATATGCATGCCATTTACCAAATCGTCAAACTTTCTCTTTCAAAACAATGCGATGTCATGATTATAAACCAATTCATAAAACAATACTTTTTAGAACAGAAAATAGGGCAGTGGATACACAACACCGGGAATCTCTAGGTATGTGTCTGCCAGTTGCCTATACAAGTACTGCCAAATCCATTTTACCGGTACTAACATGGAGAATTGGCACCTAACCACACAAGTTTTTGTACATTCATTAAGGACACACATGCCAACATAGATAATACCACAACCACACCCCTTAACTATATTCACCAAGGTATTCAACCTTTTTTCTCAAAGAGATACAATTTCATTACAAGACTACGGAATAATGTTCACTGCAAGTATTAGGTTTTAATTAACCTAATCCTCATGCAATTTCTACAACAATCAAAGTTGTGCTTCACCGATAACCCAAAATAGATATCTCTACACAAAAGATAAATCCCCAACAACAGTTACACTTTCATAATCTCACTATGGGAATGTTAATACATATGCAACTCCACTCTCATCTTTAATAGATACATCCATTTTATCTTCTAAAAAACTCAACATCTTTTCCTTTCTTCTTAAGGTCAAAACCAATGTTTTCTAGCAAATCATCCATTCCTTTCAAAAACACATTTAAAGGAGAAATTCCCAATATTTCAACAAAACTCAACAATATATAACGATTCTGGTTTAGACTCGACCCGTTTATTGTTTTGGATCCGAGATTCCTTATGTTGTTTGGTTGTTCATATCCTGATTCATCTTATTCTAGATTAGTTTTGTTGTTTGGATGTCTTTATTGCGTTTGGAATAGGTTGGGAGTTTGTTTTTCAATAGAACTATTGCCCAAATTTTGGTCAGTTCGCGCGAGTGGTGCTTTGGTCGCTCAACCAATCTTTGAGAACTTCCAGTATATTTGCAAGTCTGCAAATATATTGGGAGGGTGTTTTTTTTTTGCTCGAGCTATGTTTCTTGCACTCAAGTGGTCTTGGCTCGAGTGGTCCTTCTTGAGCTCAAGCAGTCTTTGGGAACTCTCAGTACTTTTGCAGGCATGTAAAAGTACTAGGATGATGGTGTTCTTCGCTCGACCAGTCACCTCGTTCGTTCGAGCGGTCTCACTTGTTGTGTCTAGTCGCTCTAGCAGTGTTTTGGTCGCTTGAGCGGTCTACGTGTATATCAGTTCGTAAAAGTCACTTTTTGAGTCATTTTCTCATCTCTCTCTCTTTCTCTAAACATTCTAAAATCTCATATTTTCTTCTTCTCTCTCTAGAAATCATCTTTAAACCTCAAATACACTGTCATCCATTGATCTCTCAACCATTGTCCTTTCGAAAAAAGGGTAACACTTGACTAGAGTTTCCTTTTGATCAAAGCAAAATTGGTTTTCGGCTTCGTCGAGGTTTCTCCGTTCTCTCTTTCGCCTTCTAGCTTTGAGGAAGGGATTTCTCCACACTTTTGTATGTTTTTAAACATGGTTATTTGATTTTCTAAATAATATTGTGATTTGGGAATTTTTGGATAAACTTAGGGTTTTGGTTTTGAAATCAAAAGAGGGTCAAAATAGTTTTTGGAAAATGATTGTGGGTTTGTAAATGTGGTTGAGTTGTGATAAAAGGGTGAATTTTCATACTTGGAATTGGTTCATGAAGAAAAGGGGATTTTGCCCTAAAATGTGAATACTTGATTTTGTAAAGAGGAAATGGAAATGATGTTGGAATTTATGAAATTCGAATGCTGATGATGATGATGATAGTGGAGTTGGATATGCATTATCACTCCCATCTTGAATTTTTGAAAGTTTACCTTTATTAGAAATTATATATATGTTTAGAGATATTTGCTTTGGGCTATCGGGGGAGAATAGCTATGAGTATTATAGAAATCCCATGAGAATTAAGAGAATTAAAACTACTTTCTTATCCATTTGCATTGAGCATTGTTGCATACTTAACGCATCAAAAATGTTTATCGTTTTGAAAAAAATGGGTGAATACCTTGGTGAATCTAGGTAGCGAGTGTGGTTGTGGTATTATTGTTGTCCAGTGTATTGTTGGTGAAAGTTCAGAAACCCACGTGGTTAGGTTCTGAGCCTTCCGATTAGTGCCAGTAAAAATGGCAATTGGTAGTGCTTGTATAGTCTACTTGCAGACACATACCTAGAGATTCCAGTGTTGTATCCTCTGCCCTGTCTTCTGTTGTAAAAGAAATGTTTTCATGAATTGTGATATAAACCTGGCATTGCATTGTTTTTTAAAGAGACATAAAATGTTTTGGCACGAGCATTGCATATGCACTCACTTTATAACTTTGTTAAGATTCATACACTGTGTTAGAGTATCTCTACTAGGCTTTGGCTCACACTATGTGGAAGACCATTCTCAGGTGCTGATGATATGCCTCCGCCAAGGCTATAGCTTGGGAAGACTTGGAGCCGAGAGCTTATTGTTTGGTTTTTGTTCTATTTATTTTGTACAAGCCTAGGGCTCTATTTGTATAAACTCACTAGTGTATGATCCGCGTGGTCGGGAGGCGCTTAGTTTCCTTCTTGCTACATTCTTAGGTGTTGAGAGTGATGTGGTTCGAGTAGAGTTGCTAAGGGTAGTTTGTAAGTACCCGGACGTCTTTCCCGAGGTTCTCACTAGTTTACAACCTCACCATGAGATTGAGTTCTCTATTGATTTATTGCTAGGCATGACATCGATTTCCATGGCACAATATAGATTTGCACCTATCAAGTTGAGTGATTTGAAGATTCAACTCCAAGAATTATTAGATAAGGGCTTTATCTGACCTAGTACTTTGCCTTAGGGAGCATCGACTCTCTTTGCCAAGAAAAAGGATGGCATATTGCGACTTTGTGTTGATTATCGAAAGTTGAATCGGGTAACTGTTAACAAAAAGTACCCACTACCTCGTATAGATGATTTCTTTGAACAATTGAAGGGGTCTTGATGCTTTTCTAAGATAGACTTGAGATCGCGTTATCACTAGTTAAGAGTCAAGGATAAGGATATCCAGAAGATGGCATTCCATAAGCGGTATGGCCATTATGAGTTTCTAGTGATGCCTTTTGGGCTAACTAACGCACCGGCCTTGTTTATGGACTTGATGAACCAAATTTTTTGTGAGTTCTTAGACCGTTTTGTGGTTGTCTTTATTGATGGCATCTTGATTTACTCATCCTCTGAGGAGGAACATGAGGAATACTTGCGGATTGTACTGTAGTTGCTCAGAGCCCACAAATTATATGCTAAGTTTAGAAAGTGTGAGTTATGGTTGAAGGAGGTGAAATTCTTAGGCCATATGGTATCCGAGGAAGGGGTGACTATGGATTCTTCTAAGGTTAAGGTAGTGCAAGATTGGGAACAACCTAAGAATGCCTTTGAGATCTGGCGTTTCTTGGGGTTAGCCGGTATTACCATCATTTTGTAAAGGGTTTCTCTAGATTGGCCACACCTTTGACTAGACTGACCAGGAAGGGAATCAAATTTGTGTGGAGTGAGACTTATGAGAAGTCATTTCAAGAGCTTAAGGTTAGACTTAGCACTGCTCCATTGTTGATTATTCCTGAGAGGGGTTTGGGCTATTCAGTGCATTGTGATGTGTCTCGGGAAGGTTTGAGTTATGCCTTAATGCAAGAGGGGAAGGTAGGGGCATATGGCTCACGGCAATTGAAAACACATGAGAGAAACTATCCTACCCATGACTTAGAACTAGCAGCAGTGGTTTTTTATTTGAAAATCTAGAGACATTATCTTTATGGTGAGAGATTCGAGGTCTTTTTTTATCACAAGAGTCTGAAGT